AGATGTTCAGGAGCCCCCCACCCCCACCAGCGGAAGGAAGAACCCGGCGACGTGGTTGCACCCCCCGGGAGCCTGCGGGAAGAACGAAGCTGCTCTAAACTGGCCTCGTGGGAAATCACGTGCAGATAAATGGGGCAATCTGGCCCGCCGAGAGGGAGGGAGAGAGATGGGATGGCACGGAGCAAGGAGGAGAAACGCCGTCCCCTGCGGTGCTAGGGAGCAAAGAAAGAAACAACTCAGCCCACCTTGGGCTGAACTGGCACATGATTTCTGCTCCTTCCCTGTGTGATTTTGCCCCTGGGCAAAGTTTCCCCACCACCACGGCTCTTGAGTAGGGCAGGGACCTCTCTCCTCTCCAGTGGGTGCACCCCCCTGGCCTCTCCCACTTTTTAGGGATGGCTAACGGCCATCCTGGCCATTCAACACGCTTGGGCCACAATACGCCACGCCGAGTCAGCCAGAGATCTCTGGCCAAGCTGCCTGGGATATTGTGGAAACTCCAGCCTCAAAAAGGAGAGGCACTTCCTATCTCTATCTTACTTTAAAATGGACGGATTACGCAACCTCCAGGCCCCTCCCGGTGCATCCAGGATACGACCTCCTTCCCACCAACATGCATTATATAGAAGAGGCCAGAGTGAGCCAGGTCTGGCTAGCAACCCATCTGAAGCCAGCCAAGCATGAAATGAGTATCGCTCCAATTAAGATCTCGGCCTCGGCTATACCAAATGATTTAAGGTGCTGAGGATTATCGTCATTAATGAAATGCGGTCTATATATGAAAGCTATCATGGGCAAAATCAGTAATGCAAGAGGGGGGCAGATGAACAGGCTTAGGGGGAAAGGAGGCACGCTTAAGTAGCTTTAATGAAGGGCACAAGATTTCACCCAAAATCCTCTTCTAACCTCATGGATCCACCAAGAAGCCAAGACACAAATCCAAGATACACCGAGAACACTCTCAGCAGAGTCTAATCCAGCCATTGTATTCCTCATGGAGGCATCTCATGTTGTTGATGTCATGTGCTGTCAGGTTACCTCCAGCTCCTGGTGAGCCTCTGAATGGGTGATCTCATAAAGGCCCTCGTCCTCAACTGCCCTGCTCAAGTCTTGTAAACTCAAGGTTGTGGCTTCTTTTAGGGGTCAGTCCATCTTGCATTGGGTCTTCCTCTTATCCTGCTGCCTGCCAGCTTTCCCAGCATTATTGCATTTTCTAGAGAATCTTTTTCAAAAGAAGCCATTATTGTCCTTTCCATAGGACCCTGCCTTCTCAGGTGGTGCCCAAAGGAGGACAGCTTCAGCTTCAACATGTTTGCCTCCAGAGAAAGTGCAGGCTTGATTTGCTGTAGGACCCACCAGTCTGGCATACTGTCAGTCCAGAGTACCTACAAAGCATCTCGCAGGGTCCACAAAATCAAAACGCAATTCAAATCACACATACAACAGGCCTGCGAGAGATGTGTGAGATTCCGATCCCTACCTTGAGCACACATAACCACACACGCAAACCTCCCTCCTTCTTCAACCCAGACTTGTCCTCATGCTCAGGAATGCTCAGAGAGACTTTTCAAAGCTTTGTTCTGCTTTACTATGAAGATCGGTTTGGTGCCACTGGTTTTATGTTTTTACGCTATGTTGTAATTTATTGTTTGTTGAGTTTGGTTTTAACTGCTTGCAAATCGCCCAAAATAATGCTTTGACACAAATGGGGCATTATATAAATTAAAGTAATAGAAAGATGGATGGACAGGCAGAGAGCGAGAGAGAAGCAGGGCAAGGGAGCTGCCCCCATCTTTCAGACAGGGCTTGTGCTGAAGTCGGAACTTCTGTCTGCAGCTTTACTGTGGTTCAGCACCATGGAGAGCGTTCATGCCAAGGGTGACAGCATTTGAGTCTCCATGGACCCTAAAGGATGGCCCACTTACTTATAGCGACCCTTTTTTGTGTGTGAACGGGGATGTCAAGTTCACACATTATTGTGTGGGAGAGGGGGTTTTTTTTTGTCCTGGCTTTTCCCAGGTTATCATGTAGGAAATCTTTTCAGCCCAGGTGGGCTTGTTTCAGTGCTTCAAAAAGCTCCAAGCCACTGGCTAAGACAAAGATAATGAAGGCGGCCCAACGTCTTGTGTGTCCTACCATTAAAATCCATCCCCCACAGACCCTGAACAAAGACTGTGCCTCCTTAAAAAGTCCTGATTCTGTCATTTCTGAATCTGAATCCCCATCTGAATCTGGCTGGATGAGCCAAGCTACAGGAGACCCCCCCCCTTAGAAGACGAGGGCACGTTTTCTCCTCCAGAGATGCAGTTCCTTCAAAGCTCTGTGTCTGCGCAATGTGCCTTACACATGTATCAATTTTATTTGATTTAGTTATTTAAACCTATACCCTGCACATCTACTAGAAAAGCCACGACTCGGAGCAGCTTCCAAGAAAATAAGATAAACAGACAACATAAATTGAGATAATAAACATATAGAAACAAAAACCTTTCCTAAAACTTCCACTCTAGCAAATCATCAAAGACACAGGATGGTGAGACAAGCATGTGGGCCACGCTGACCTCCTGAAGATTAATCACAAAACAAAAGCAAGCTTATTTGTAACATCAGGAGATGAGACCAGCTCCCCTGGAAGGATCAACAGGGCTCCCCTACGCTTACCAGGAGCTCGGCTTCTAAAGGCATATTAAATGTATTACTTCCACTATAGCAAATCATCAAAGACACAGGATGGTGAGACAAGCATGTGGGCCACGCTGACCTCCTGAAGATTAATCACAAAACAAAAGCAAGCTTATTTGTAACATCAGGAGATGAGACCAGCTCCCCTGGAAGGATCAACAGGGCTCCCCTACGCTTACCAGGAGCTCGGCTTCTAAAGGCATATTAAATGTATTATCTAGCTTGTCCTTCTGGCCCTGGGAGTAGAAAGAGGTACAAACCCCCAGCTGGGAGGACGGGCATCTGCTAAGCGATTCAAAACAATCATCTGTGCGTATGTTACAAGCACAACGCAATGCATCAAAGAGCTTCTTAACCTCGTTCGTTTCATACATTCAGCGATATTAGCCTTTCTCGGTGCACGGCTCACACGGTTCATCTGCAGCGGCCACAGATCCCTGACAATCGGCATAATTAGCCATTAAAAGCAATCATACGGGAAGAGGCCGGGTTCTCCTAATCGTGTTTTGTAACAGGAGAGCCAGGTTTCGGATCCAGCTCCTGAGACGTCAAGTGGAGAAAAGCCAAGGGCAGAAGAGGCTTTTGTCTGCGGGGGAACTGAAAGCCAGTTTGCAAGCGCCGGATGGGTCCTGAGCCTCAGATCCCTCAGAGAGCATCACACAGAGGATGCTCCTCCAAACGGCTCAAACCCACTCTTCCCAAACTCCTCCCATTCTAAAGACATCACTCCTTTCCCTTCGGCCCTTGCCTCCTTCCTCTTGATCAACAGAAAGCATCTCATGACCATGGTTATAATGTCCTGGACTACCACGGATTGTCTTAGGGCAAGGTGATTCCCAGCCTTTGATCCCCAGATGTTCTTGTACTGAAACTCCCAGAAGCCTGGAAGTTGTAGTCCAAGATCATCTGAGGGACCCAGCCCTAGGATAAATATTTTGCCCATTACGCTGCACTAGACAGATTCTTCCACTTCAAGTGCAACCATTCAACGCCCAGAGCAGGCACACATTGCTTTTTGGACTTCTAATCCATTGCTATGGTGGTCCCAAGCCCCAAACACCCACCTTTTGAACTACAGTTCCCAGAATCCTGTCCTCAGCGTGTCTGCTGGCTGTGCTGGCTGGGGAAGTCTCAGAATTGTAGTTTTTTTTTAAATAAACAAACACACCTACCAAAAAAAAAACTTCCCCAGCTTTTGTTTTTTCCTCTTTTAACATGTTGCTGCTGCTTATGTTTTATGTATGCATCTGATCGTGTTCTTGTAAACTGCCCCAGGAGCTCTGCAGAAGGATTGCTTATAACTCTTTTATACTAAATAATAGATAAATATGTTTCTGTAAATAAATATTATTCTTTTCAAACACACACACACACACTACACTTTAAGACTCCAGTGCACTCTGGAGCTCCTTCGACTGGAGAACAAGGTGAGAGAGCTAATAGGTCTTTAGAGGTCTTGAATCTGGTGGAAACATCCTGGACCCTGTGACCCATGACCTTTGCGGAAATGAGAGCTGCCATGCTCCTTTCTGGCCATTTATGATGGTGTCAGTTGCAGTAAGGAACAGGCTGGAAAGCCAGTGGGGTTTCTCCTGAGCTAGGCAGTGGAAGTCCACCCATCCACCCCCCGGCCACCTCCAAACTGCTATAGGGTCTTATTTGGGCCCACAAAGAAAGACAGGTGTGTCCTGCCACTGAGTTACCAAACCTGGCCCCCCCTGGTAGCCTGCAGGCTCTCTAGCGCAGAAAGAAGTGCATTGTACATAACGTAGAGAGGTGAGGAATACTCGCCTGAATGCTTCAGGGAGAAATTCTTCAACCTTGTAAGGTTCCTTCCCTCCACATGAGAGTAAGAAAATCAGTTCTCCTTCTCTGTCCATGTCTCTGCTTTTTGTACAAATTACTTCTGTGCAAAACTAGTATTTCCCCCCCCCCCCCTTTGAAAAGCAAAACAGGCATACAAACAGCGAACAAGACTGGGAGATGTTTCAAAAGGATGCAAGCAAACCATCCGGTCCTTCTAAGGCTTCACAGCCCACACGTGAAGCACAGCAGAAGTCATCGTATTGGTGTCCTCTGCAGCAAAACCATTCTCACCAGGACTGAAAGATCAACAGAAAACACTGCCCTTCTGACAAGCGAGGAGAACTGTGGGGTTTTGCCATTTTCAAATTCGCATCCTTGAGCATGAGGACAACACAGGGAGTGGTTCACCGCCCGCTCCCCATGAAACATCAGCAACATCCACGCAGACCGGCCCACCTCAGGTTCACCCAAGCCCCACGCAATTGGTGCGCGACTTCAAAACAAAGGCTTACTTGTGCAGCGTGTGGGACGGCCGCTCGCTGTTCCCCTGCTGTCCGTAGCAACTGGTTTTGGCTTCAGGGATGAAGGAGTATTTTTCCAGCATGTCCGACGCCGCAGTAGAAATAATCCCAAGGCCGTCCCGTACCCGAGCGTCCAAGCGGTAGTCCCATTCGTCATAGGCCACAGAAATCAACCCTGCAGGAAACTCTTTCGGAGTGATTTCCATGTTCCCACTCACCAAGCTAGGGACGAGCCAGAAGAAGTCATAACCGGTCAGGCCCAAGGAGCGCGCTTCGTCTAGGATGTAAACCGCCTCGTCCTTCGAGCAATACAGAAGGATGACAGAGGAGTGGATCTTCTTCAGCTGGACCGTGGTCTTGGCATCCCCGATGGTAGTGTCCAGGGTGATGATGTTTTGCATGTCCCAGCCCACAAAGCTATTCTCCACCGTGTATTTGATGAAACTAATAAAGTCCCGGTAGCCGGGGAAGGTGCTGGTCACCACCGAGAAGACGTGCCAGTCATAATATTGCATGAATTTCAACATGATGATGGCTTCCTGTTGGATGGACGCCCCGAACTGGAAAAATGTGGACATCTCATCCTACAAAGAGAAAAGAAAAGTTGCTTAGTGTTCAATTGATACAAGATGGAGAGCTTCTCCAGCTCAGCCTTAGACCTACAAGTTCTTGGGGGTCGGAAAAGCAAGGAACATTCTGAGTTAAGGAAGAGTAGAACGTCGGCTGAGGTTCCCTGATAGGTTGGGCTGGTTTGTGGTTGACCTCAAAGGATTTCTGGTGTCGAGCTCATGAATGGGGGCCAATAAAATTGCAAAGAGGGGGGGGAAAGCACCTCTGCCAGGGCTGAGCTTTTGTGCTAATTGTTTAACTGGCAGCCTCAGTATTCCTAGTCTGTCAAATGGGAGCCCAAAGGGAGCTTGGCTTGGTGAGGTAGGGTGGAATTTTCTGCCTAAGAAGCCAAGCGTAAGAAATGGGGTTTAATCGGCACATCAATACACAGCTGGCGTGGGGCTGAAATCTGAGGGGGCTGAGAGAATAGGAAAGGAAGAATTACAGTCAGAGAAAATTACCCACACAGCTGTCACCACAAACTATACAGAGGTTGGATTGCAGGTACAGGCAACAATGCGCAGATGAGCTGATTAAAGTGTGGCAAGAAATAGAAAGCCTTTTTTTGCAGAACCTAAGGGAGAGCCGAGACAGTCATCCTGTGGACATACATCAAGAGATGCTCATACACGGATGACAAGCCCGGCCCCTGGCTTTTCCCAACAGAAGCCTCTGGGGCCTTAAGCGAGGCACTTGAGGCTCCCGGATTAGTACTGCAGTACGAAACCTCCACCTGCAGAACCTTCTATGTGAGCCTGACGTCAACACTTGTATACGTGGCCAAGCCCAAAAATCTCCAGTGCAGAACCTCTACGTAACTTTACATGTCTGCCAGCAGAAAAAAAAATGAGAGAGGGAGAGAGAGAGAGAGAGAGAAAGCCACACATTTCCCTGAGTTCATCCTGTTTTTTTCCTGCTCTGCAGACTCCCAGCCTTTGGAAAAGCACTCCAGTATTTGCTGAAGGAATGGAACAATGGCAAACATCTGCAGCATGAGCCGGTGGGCGACGTTGGAGTCTCTGTCCCAACAACCGGCACAGGTCAGACCTTGGCGAAGTTACTTTTCTTAAGACAACTCCTCAGCCAGCATGCCTCTGTCAACATTGACTCGGCGNGGGGGGGGGGAGAGGCTTTGTAAGAGCAGCTAGCCCAAACAGAAATGTTCTCAAGTTCTGACACACAGTCGTGAGGAAAAGCTCATTTTATGAGCTCTCTGGCCATGCAGCATGAAATGAGCACACCTTCATTTATGCTACGCCAGGCGCCTGTTTAGTCTGTTAAAAGTAAAAAAATGTTTCTTGGAAAAAAACCACCTCTGCTCAGTTCTGGGTGTTCTGAAATGCTGTTGCATCATGACATTATCCCCCCCACACACACACACACACTTAGTGTTCATCCTGTCTTCATTGCGCTTCTGTCTCTCTCTTTCTAGCAGCAAAGGCGTATATGAGAGAGTTGCTATATTCGGAGAAAATCAGCTGTTTCTCTAGCTTTAGTGTCAAGCGGCTCACGGCGTTATCAAGGGGAACCAATGGAGATGAGGGTGAGACACGCTCCAGAGGCAAACTCAAAACACACACACAGAGACGGGGGGGGGGAGGTCATTGTTACACGGCTTCATGAGTTTCTGTCTCCTAGAGTAGGCCTCTTGGCTCACAGAACGGAGACATCGCAGATGCCTTCTGTTTGGGGAGCCATTAACAAGCTTCAAAGAAGATGATGGGTTCCCATGTTCAACACTGCCCCCAGGCATGCTTAGAGAGATGGGAGCAGGGAAAGTAACTGGGGTTGCTGTGATGATGCCCATTGAGAAAGAGCTGCCTCCCTTCCATGTTTACCTCTGCAAACTCTTCTTCTTGGCAAAGGTCAGCGCTCCTTCCTTTATTGGGTGGATTCCCCCCCCAGGAGTAAACTGCTTCATTCTTGGGGCATTTTTACAAATCCGGGTGCTCCCACCCTCCACGCCCCTCATGCACCCACAGGGATGGCACCCTTCCAGACAAAGTTGATGGCTGAGGAACACCCTGGCATCTCTGCATTTGCCAGTGATCCCTGATAGGTTGGGCTCTCCTAGATGACCAAGCTGAAGAGGACGAGACCATGACACAGGAAAAGGGAGGAGTAAATGTGTCACATTTTGGATCGCTAGCATCAGGGGTTCATGGGCTGAACCCCTTTAGATGTTGGTGCCTGAAAACACTGTGGCCAAGGTACAGGTCAAGCCTCGGACGGCACCTTACAACTCCCACAGAGCACAGTCTACTACTGTCTGGCTCCCTTCTCTTCACTTTAGACATTTAAATCACTCGATCATCCCAAATAGAGTTCACTTCACCTGCCCAGTCAGCTTGGACCCAGACCTCATGTACCTTCCCCCTGATCAGGCTGGTTCGGTTCAGATTCTGAATGTGGCCGAAGCCGACATATAGCCCTATGTCTGATTGCGGGCGTGACTCCACCAACTATTGATTCAGGCAACATCTCTCATGAGTTTGCTCCTATTATCTGCATTCCTTCAAAGTTTTTCATTCTATCAGAATCTGATTGCTTTTCAGGAAAAGTCAGTGCCTGTAATTACTCTTCTGTTGCCTCCCTTGTTGTTGTCCTATGAAAAATATATTTGATCTCCTTCTAGAACAGCTGGTATCTCCCTAAATCACAAGGAATCTTGAGAAGAGTAGCTCCTTTGGAGAATAAAGACGTTTTCTTTCTCTAAACATGAAAACTTGCATTTTAGATGCTGCTCTCTAGCGGCACCTGGTGACTGAAGACGAGCATTACAAAGCATGTCTTCATCAAAAGGAAAGAAAAGAAGCAGAATTTGAAAGAGAAGAAGCACTTTTAAAACCCGAACCCACTGACACCTTCTAGAAAATCACAGATTGATCGCCTAATCTTTTGGATGTGGAAACAGAGCTCGGTGTTTGTAATACACACGGTCTTCTAGTTTCGGAGCCACCTCACTGTTTCCTTGGAGTTGCTTCCCATGAGGTCTGAAATGGAATCATTCTGACTTTGGCTTGCAAAGTTCATGGAAGAAGACATCACAGTGGAACACAATGCAAGAGCGACTTATTCAAAAATAAATTGGCTTTTTTTTTCCTTGTTGAGCAGGTGTGCATTTGTTTTAATTGGTGCATGCCTTCAGGGTGTTCTGCTCTGTAAATGTTTTGATTGCTCACAGGACATAAACTGCAAAATTCCAATTTTCATGCTCCACAATGAAGCCAAAGAAATCAAGCAAATGTCTGTGCGTGGATTCTCCAGAATACCAGAGGTGCAGCCACACTTGCCTGTTACAACAAGCGGCATCTTGTGGCTTCTTAAAGAGAGAAGAGTTTCACGGTGGCAGAAAACCCAAGGCAGATACATCCGCTTGGAGAAAGGCCCAGATAAAAGCTAGTAAACAAAGGTGCTCAAAGATTATGGAGCTCAAGATCTAAAATATTTACCATTTCACTTGAGATGCACATAAGGCTAACCGGTTGCAACCATTCAGAGCAACCACAGTCACTAGAGATGTGTTTCCTTCTTCGGTTCACTAGGCTAATCTCCCACTCAGCGACGGGATAACAGTCATTCAGACTTACTTACTTTCCAGGGAGGTGGGTCGGATAAAATGGGTACAAACAAAGAAAAGGGCACAGCACCACAGTCTCCTTGGGAAATTGTGGGGGCTTCTATGTGCCCATGCACAGAGCGACCCCCAAATATCTGCTCTGGAGCAGAAAACCCTGATCTCTATTGAGTCCTAAATTGCAAGAAACAAACTGACTTGCAAAGGCAGCCCAGCGATTTCTTGGCAAAGCTTCCCTCGGAAATCCTTCCAGCTGAGGAATGAAAATCTATGGAGAAAAGAAGGTTCTAGAGAGGAAATGCATGAGGGCAAACTGAAAAGTGCCATGAGAACACCAATGTTTACTACACTTGTGAAAGAACCAAAGTGTGTGAATGAAGGAGTCCTAATCTTACTTATTTATGGGCTCTGGTAAGGGTCTTCTTAGGAATAGGCCACCATAAAGAGAAATAAAGTATTTGCCCGTGTTAGATGCACCAAAAACTTGTGGACAAAAGTGTACGGCACAAGCAAGAACTCCTTTAGCCTTTGAGAGTAGCCAAGGGCTACTAAAGACTAGAACAGATAGCCCACCGAGGAAAGTCCACAAATGTACATATCATTTTGAGGTACTGCAGAAAATCAAAGACAGCTAACAATTTCACGGGCCAAATCACTATTCATGTACCTAAGGCAGGAGTATGAGCTTTGGCAAGTCAATGGCCCTCCCAAAAATCCTAGAGGGGCTACATCAATTCCCCCAAACCCCAAGGGAACCCCAAGAGTCAAGGGCCTGTAGCTGGATCCTTCGGAGACCAGGCAGAAAGGATATCACCAATAGGTGTGTTGTTTCCCCCCAAAATGTTCTCTTGGCCACAGGATGCTGGAACCAGGTTTGTCTTCCAACACGCCAAGGACCCGGAATAAGCTGAGTTTAAGAGAGCCCTTTGCCAAACCAACACCTCCCTTCCTCTGACCAGGTTTCTGGGCTTGTTTTATCCCTTTGTGTTGGGATACAGTCCCTGTATTATATTTTGTACTTTTGTTTTCTGTAGTTAGAATTACCAAGTTGTACTTATCCCCCCCCCATCTGAGGTCCTGAGCTGCTGTGCACTTAGCCTGCGTATGAACCCATTTGGCCTCGATCAGATCGCGTCAAACGCCCTTAACTTGCAACTGAACCGGTTCGTCTTTGTTCTGATTAGCCTCCACCAATGAATGAACGAGACCTGATTAATCTATTGATTAAAGCTTGCAGCACTGGTAATAACAGAAGGGGGGGGGAACAAGCTTATTGAGGAGAGGGAGCTCTTAACCCTTAGAGGGTTGGAATGACAAAACTTTCCATATTCTTTCCCATGATTTTAGTTGGTTGCCTTACATAAGATACATAATCTGCTTTCACCCCCCCCAAAAAAA